AAAATGCAGTATTTTGGGTGCCGGACCCCCCTTACTTGGCTTCGATTATTTTCAGGATTTTTAGGAAAGGGAAACTTTCATCTCTGATAATACAAAGTAGATGTTTTCAAGTAATAGGCATTAAGTCATATAGACCTAGTAATATAAAAAGTTAGTAATTACAAGATGTTATTTTATCAATGTATATAATACTGTTATAAACTAAACAAATACAATACTTCTTGCATTTTTAATTTCAAACATAGTCACATCTTGATGTTGCATGATAGATTTTTATTTCTCTTTCAATAAAAAAACTAATATAAAAATAGTATTTTTATTACAGATATTCCCCTTAAGTTAAAGTATAAACTTATTCAATATAAAAGCATAAAATGTAATCAAAATTATAGTTTAAACACCACAAGGCAGCAAAAGATTTCAAAACCAATATCCCTGTTGGTTTTCTAATATTTTGCTGGCTTCAGGCACGTAAACTGTAACTTTTAAAAGTATTATACTGATATATCAACAAGTGTTTTGTAGAATCTTTTGTCTCTCATTGTCCAGCCCAATTGACGAGTTCTGGTACTGAAGGAAAAGCTTGTTGGGCAGTGACTTGTGAGAGATACAATACAGATCTGAAATGTTGTATTTTACAAACCTCTAATTTCGAGCCATAATGGACAAATTAAAAGGAATGTGGAAAAAGAACATGTTTTTATAATAAAACTTATTGTTGTATTACTGTTAGATATTACACATGTACAACATATATATGTATCAGTGTAGTAAACATTATAACGTTTTCAAGTATTAGAACAGGATTTAAACATTAGTTTATCAAAAATTAATACAAGTAGCAGAAATATCATATATTTTCATATCATACAGAAGCCTAGTAATTTTGCAATTGTAATTTGTTTTTTTTTATGGACAAACTGAAAACCATGCAAGAATCATTACGAATAGACTATTAACAAAATTATAAAATAGTTAACTTTGGCCCCGACAGTAAGGAATTCGCTTTGACCACTTTCCTGATCGTAAGCATTGGGCTTTTTTAGCTCCAATGAGCTGCAAAGATCCTCTACAGCTAAAGCGAACAACATTGTTGAGTTTTCGCCACTCTTCATACGTGACTATCAGTCCTTCTTTAGGTCGGATCTCTGGACAGCGTATCTCTGTATGAAAAAAACAACTTTCTATCATGTCACTATCAGTCTTTCTTTACATTGAATCTCTGGACAGTGTATCTCTGTATATAAAAAAAAATTCTATCATGTTGTAGCCATTTTTTTAATGAGAAAAAGGTCATGATTACTATATATGCAGGTGTTATTCCATAATTTTTTTTGTACTAGTAACCAGCAAAGGCAACAAATGAAACAAGAAATCAAATAACGAGACTTTCAGAAGTTCCCATTTTGGAAGAAATTGACTAAATAAGTATATATACACATACACACAAGTAGATTTTATGTAAATACTATGGTTAGTATTAGTTACATTGCTGCATGTAATGGCATATTGAAAACCAAAATCTCATGATTTATGGCATGTAATATTTAATAAACTAACTTTTAGGTCAGTCACCATTCTGTAAGGATAATAAAATTATTGAAGTGACAGAAGTTTATCTAACAAAATTGACTAAACAAAATCATGTGTCTGTTTTCCTTCTTTATTTTAAATATAAACTGTGTGTTTCTAATGCTCTCATAAAAAATTATTTTTAAAAAACTACTTGTTATTCACTTTCATCTGCATAACAAATATTAGGCTTCACTTTAAAAAAAACATAGAATACAGTTAATAAGTCAAAGCAGTTGCTCATATAGAACTGTTTTTAATAGTTCTATAGATTGTTCTGGACATAATTTACTTTTCACATAAATGACAATTATGTTTCAGTTCTGTGACAATTATTCAGCAGTTACTAAAGGACTAAAACAGTTTAAGAATAAAAGAAAATACCTTGAAATGACAGCTGTATAGTGAGGGTTCTTCCATGAGGAACGTAACATGTATAGCTGCCTGAAAGTACAGATGTGGTTTGTAAGTGAACATATCTACACTGAGGTTCCCACCATGTGCTACAGTAGTCAATACCTGGAGAAAACATGTACCAAAGTACAATGTTTATTTCATATAAGGTATGTATGTAATTATAGTCACACTTAAATTTTAATATAAACTGCATAAATCAGAAAACAGGTTTTATTACTTAGAATATGACTTTGACTTACTGCATAACTTTACGTCCAATATCAAAAAAATTATTATGTTTCCTCTGGAAAGTGTCCTGTTGCCCAGAGTTCAGAGAAGTTGACCATTAGTGTTCAAGAACATTTCAAATCATTTCAACAATTTGGACTACTTCAATTACATGACATTTGTTGCTGTGAACATGTATAATTAAAGATTTCTGAAATACATGAAGATGATAAATATTGTAATAATTACTAACAATTTAATGACTTTAATGACAAAAAAGTCAAACAATTTAATAGTCTTTCAAAGTCGATGATGAGGAACCCACTTTGAGACTAATAATGGTTGGAGATGGCTTGAATGGGTAATGAAGAAAAACTTTAATATAAATTTAACATAACAGCAAATGTACAA